TATATATATATATATATATATATATATAATAAAAATCAAATATAATATTAAAATAAAAATGTGTGTGGCTCTTCAAGAACTAAGAAATTTTGTAAGTTGTAACTTTTGGCTCTTCCGTCTCCAAAGGTTGCCGACCCCTGGTCTAGAGCATTTCATTATGCTCTAAACTATTTTAATTTAAAGATTAGTTAGGAGGCCGAATTATTTAAAACATGTTTTTGAGTATCTTATGTATCTTACAATACTTCCATCAGTTTTAGAAATAAAATAAAATAATTATTAATATGAGTGCATCGAGTTGAAGAGCCGCATCTTGACGTAGTGAGCTGAGGATTTTGGGCTATTAAGTTCAACTAAAACATGGGTCGACAACCTTTTTAGACGGAAGAGCCAAAAGCTACTATTTACAAAATTACCCAGTTTTTAAAGAGCCACAAACATTGTTATGTCGATAGTATAATCAATTGTATAGTGTTTGTTAAAAATTATATATATATATATATATATATATATATATATATATATATATATATATATATATATATATATATATTATAATTTTAAATAAATAGCTTTCATGATATGAAATAATCTCATTTGTTTCTGTGCTGAAAGGGTCTACTATAAAAGTCAGAGTGCTTGAATTTGTTTTGAATTGCTCAAATCTCTCAATGAAAACATCCTTCATTTTGTTTATAGTAATACTGAAGTGATTCATGTTAATAGTAGCATTGGTTTCATCACGATATTTTTTTTCCAGATTTTTCGTAATTAAGTAATTTACCGCTTTCCATGTTTTTAACCAAAAAAAAGGTTTTTTTTCTGAAACAAACTACTTCTTCAAGCAAGGCGTATGCTGGGTTTTCCTTTCAGCTTAACATTTAGCTCATTTGGTTTATTTATGATATCCACCATGAAGTTGAATGTTACAATTCCGAATGGACAATTTCATATAAAGTACATTGAATTAGGGAGTAACTAAATATTCTAATATATTAGCGAGTATTCATTGTTTATATTTATTATTATATCGTTCATTACCGAGTGTTGCAGAACAATATTTTCATGAGTTTTAACATTAAATTACAATAATTATTAATATTTGTGCATGGAGCTGAAGAGCCGCAACTTGACATCAAAAGAGCCGCATGCGGCTCGCGAGCCGCAGGTTGCCGACCACTGAACTAGAACAATAATTTTTTTAGATTATTTAGATTTAATTATGCGACAGAGAATGCGGTTTCACAATGCATCATGCAGTGAACTTTAAGACGTCTACACATTAAGTACTTTATAATGTTAAAGGTTTTGTATTTAAATTATTCATTTAAAAATAAATAATTCAAATATTTTTGAGCAAAAAGTATAAATACAATTCCTAAAAACATTAAAAAACACTTGATCAAATGTATATTATACAATATCTTATATTAGCATTAATTAATTGTAATTTAGAAGTATATTTAACAACTTTTGTGAGTACAATTATGGATTATTTCTCTTGAATAAAATAAAATGTATAAACGGAAATACTACCTACTAGAATCGGCACGTAGTTGCTGCATATTCATACTTAGGCTCAAACTTGACAAAAGTCGCATTTTGAGTTTCTTTCAGGCGACTATACGGTTGGGGGAGGATGGGGCGAGGGGGGGGGTGGTTGGCGGGTGGACTCAGGGACGTTCCTCTAACTTAAAAACAGCGTTGAACTCGAAACTATCGGGTTAGCAGTCTATCACTCCAACGCTAGGCCACGGAATCCCTTATTTTTAATGTAGTCAATTTAAATATAGAATGGTGTATTTGCGCATTATTTATAAGGAAACATTTAAAAAAACCATTTATAATAAAAGAAATTTAAATCACAGAAAATAATTAAAGGATCGGCATATCTATAACACGTGTAACATTTTAAAAATAGTATTTCACAGTGAAAATACTTGAGAATTAAATACAATTGTAATGGAATTAATCAGATTTTTTTCAATATTGTATTTTTTTTTATTTATCTACCTTGGATATGATTAAACTGAGACACAAAACAAGTATAAACAAGTAAACAATAATTATCATTAAAATTTTTTTTAAAAACCCACGTTTTCTGATTGAACTAAAAAGTAGAAAATAAATGCTATACATCACAATAATGCAAGCGATTGCTCTACTATAAGCGATCGCCAACTGCGTGCGCATAATGACAAAAAATGAAAAACGTGGGGTGCCAAAATAAAAGTTTTTTTCGATCATTGTTAATATAAGATGTTAAAGTTATATTACTATTGATTAGATAATACTATTGAGTTTTATTAAGGAGCTTGTAGAGAGTCAACAGTATTAGAAGCTGTAAGAAAATCACGACGCCCCACGTTTTTCATTTTAAGTCAAGATATCTGGTTAGGGTCGAGAGCAAACCCCTCTTGGTTCCCGGCAGTCTTGCACCTCTCCTCCCCCACGCTAATATGTAGGGGACTTGGGAGTCCGACATACCAGGCTCTTCTCTTGTATGTACTATCTGATTGGTTTAATTGGAATCACAACATGGCGATTTAATTTTTACGTTATTCAAATCAGCGAGTTAAGGGACTGCTAATTAGCGTGTTACTTCAGAAAGGAGAAAATATGCAGTGGCGTAGCTACCGTAAATCGAAAGTAAGCAAGGCATAGAGGCCCAATGCACATAGGGGCCCTTATAAATAAATTGGAGCTATTCCATTGGAATTTTAGTATTTGTTTTAGGTATATATAATTTTAAAAAGCAAACAGAAATCCAGTTTATTTTGTACTGTAGAAATAATTTAAGGGCTCAAGGTATTTCTTACTGCACCGGCAGTAGCATTTGGGGGGGGGGGGGGAAGGGGTGGGGGGCGAACAGTTCCCTAGTTTAATAATAACACTACAGGCGTTGCTGCATGGTTGGGCAAGCCATTGAGAGAATTAATCTATACATAAACTTGAATTTTGTCTCTTTTATGAGATAAGCATCCGGCACTCGTAAGTTTACATTTATCGCTACAAACTTTAACTGACTGGGAAATTCTCTACCCCACTTAACTGACAGCAGATTTCCCTCCCCCCTTTGGACCACGCCTTTGGACGCTACTGTATTTGGTTACTTAAAAAAAATTAACTCTAAGCCTGCAACATCTTGACAAAATTGCGGGTTAGTAGACCTACATAATAATATACTATAAATACACAATCAGAACGTATATAATCCTGAATGTACAAAATGTTATAATATTTTTTAAAACCTTCTTTATATATATATATACTAGCCGTCCCGGCCAGGCGCTGCCCTGGCCAGTTCAAAAGAAAAACAACCTGTAAGTAAGTAAAGAGCAAGGTGACTACTGCATGCATCGAGGTTAATTATAGATTTATTTCAATGAGCAACATTGACACAATCTTGTGAAAAAAACATTTATTTAGATTTAAAAATAATTTTAAAATATGCATTCAGTTTGCAAAAGGAAAGATTTTTATACAATTTTTTTTACATGAAATACGCTTACAATTTTCTTCAATTTTTAGATTTTAATATATTAGATTGCTATTAATTTATCAACAAAATGTTAATCCACAGATTTTACGAAAAATTGATGTATTTAAATTAACATTCAACTACAATAAAACAGCTTATATTATAACTTACCTAAATATATATCTAATACATATAAAAAAGAGTAAATTTTAAAATAATCATTTTACAATTTCTTTATTATTACAAAATATAAATGCTGGTAAAGCTCTCCATACTGTGTATTACCTAAGTTAAAGTTAACTTTAATTATCAAAAATGCGTAACTATGAAATACATCCTAGTTTAATCAACGGTAATAACATTAATAGTGAGCGTTTTACCGAATTTGAATAATTTCTACGTTAGATCAAATGAGTGTTATTTCATGCTATTTTACTCAGTCTTTATTATTTACAGATGATACGTAGCAAGTCTCTTTTTATTAAATGTCCGCAATATTTTCGATTTAAATACTTATATTTTCCTCCAAAGATTACATTTTACACCCATAGCAAATATATAGGTTTGTTTGTTTGCTTAAAATAGCTACAATGCATTTGAGTTTAATTATAAGATACGTATCATTTTGCATTAGATGTAGTTTTAATATTTTTGTAGAAACATAACCATACGCATTACAACCAGATCACTTTTAATCCATTTTATGTAATAACGTACATATAAAGTAATTTTCAAATTAAAGCATCACAATACAAAATAATATACACAAATCTAAGGTATATACATAAATAGGTATGATTTAATTTAAGGGTTAGAGGTAAGTTACTAATAACTGTTAAATAAAATTTCCATAGATAATTCTCTTTAGGTTCCCGTAACCGTACACACGATGGCACGAAGAATGTGAAAATATCGGCTTAGTACTTATTTCACAATGCTTTGGTTTCCAAATCGACACAGCTTATACTACTTAATTTAGAACCATCTGTTGTTTTCTTTTTTCAAATACGCAGTCCATGCGCTAAAAATAAAATAGAAAAAATAAAGAAACACCTTCTTAACTCTTACATTTTACATTGAGTTAAAAAGAAAGAAAAGTGTTTAGTGTAGACTATTGACATTACCTAAATCTTCCAAACATTATAACAGCGAACATGAGCTCACACTCAATACTAAAACATTTAAAAAGTTATGTTCTTTAACATTGATTTAAAAAACTGTATTACTTAAAACTTATATACAGTGTACAAATGAAGAAACAATCCATAATTTACACAAAGCAATTACTTATTGATTTGTAGATAAGGCAAATTATTTGAATAAATACATAGCTGATAAACTTTAATTCATTGGTTACACATGCAACGTACAGAAATTGCTCTGACAATTTTATCTGCCCTGATATGTTCTAAATTCGAACTTCATGCAGCGCAAATAGAATTTGTTGAACTGCAAGTCAAGCTGTTGGATATTTATATTAGATAAAATGGTATATTTTCTTGTATTTTGGTGCAGTTGTCTATAAAAGAGCTTTCTGGTAAACTATATTTTTCGTCTTTCCTTCTGTTGTTAGAATAAAAAGGTTGTTTGGATTTCCGACCCTCGAACAGGCAACATACAATTGTCCATGAGGGAAGCAAGGGGTTTCCAAATTGACTCCTACCACGGACATTGACTGTCCCTGGGCTTTGTTCACTGTCATGGCGAATGCCAACTGAACGGGAAATTGTAACCTCTTAAAATCAAAAGGAAGGTCTGTGGGAATTAGTGGAATTCGTGGTATAAAAACATCCTCCCCTTTCCCAGATCCATTCATTATAGTAGCTTCGATTATATGTGAATACATTTTTTTTATGCTTAGTCTGGTACCGTTACATAACTTTGGCGGATCAAGGTTTCTTAGTAGAATAATAGGAGATCCAACTTTAAGTGTCAACTCATGCAGAGGCATTCCGCTGGGTTGCAGGGAGTTTAAAAATTCGGTCGGATAATGTACAGCCTGGTCAGGATCCAGCACAGTGTCTACAGACTTATAAATCCTGGTATCTCCAGGTAGCAAGTTTTGAATTTCTATGTTAAGCTTGAAAACCAATTCATTTTTTGGAGCCAGAATTACACGCTCACAAAGCCATTGGTGATTTTTGAAATTTGCTTCTAAATTAGGATAGACGCTGTCTTTAAGTTCGTCACAGGTTCTCACTAATTTGCAGAAATCTTTTGAAAATTCAATAAGTCCGGTTATTTTGTCTTGTTTTATTTTGCCGTTTCCGACATCTAAAAGTTGCAAAGCAAATCTATTAGCAGAGGAATCGCCGCTTAATTTTGCCCTCATGTTTTGCTTCAATTTAAGCTCTGTTATATCATTCCAGAGGTAGGACGCCTTGAGGCAGGCGTTTAGCTCGTCGGCCATTGTTGATCTGGGAATTACGGGCAAAGTTTGCCTGAAATCCCCAGCCAAAACTAAAACGACTCCGCCCATCACGGCTTTATTTGATCTTAAATCTTGGAGTGTCCTACCCAGGGCCTCCAGTGCCTTTTTATGAGCCATTGTGCATTCGTCCCAGATGATAATGGCACACTGCTTAAGCAGCTTTCCTTTTTCGGATTGTTTAGATATGTTGCAAATAGGAACATCTGAGTGAGGAATGTTCAAAGGCAACTTAAATGTTGAATGCGCTGTGCGGCCTCCTGTAAGTAGCGTAGCTGCAATACCCGATGACGCTACAGCTATGGCCAACTTTTGCTGTTGACGCACTTTTGCTAAAATGAGATTTAAAACAAATGTTTTCCCAGTACCTCCAGGGGCGTCGATAAATAAAATACCTCCTTCGTTTTGTCGGACACGTTGTAAAACTGTTTCGTATGCTAGTTTTTGTTCTGGTAGCAAAAGAGGTTCATTGATTGAAACGTATTCAGCTAGTTCTGCGACGTTGTAATTAGTTTCGCGAACTATTTCGGAGCAGGCCGCTAGATCCCTGTCAGGTGATGGTAGACCATATTCTCTGAGCAACTTACCATTGATTGAAGCGATGTGTTCTTCCAGCGCACATAGGGTTTGGTTGAAACTTTCTTGATTTGAATTCAAATCAACATTAAAAGTAGTTTGTCTTCTGATTTGAAAATCTTCGCTCATAGAAGTTTTGTATTTTTCCCACAGGTTGAGTGGATTTGACATTGAGCAAGATGTCAGAAGCAGACAAAATAAATGTCTTAACTTTTTGGGTGATTTTGTAGCACTCGCTTCTTCAAGCGCAGTGTCCCAATGTTTGTCATTTTCTAAGAGCCCTTGTCTCTCGCATGCCTCTCTAAACGTCTTGCACATTTGTCCATTCACATTTTTGAGATCGAGAAAAGATGTAGGTCCATGTTGCACATGAAGGAGTAAACGCAAGAAAAAGCATTCATCATTTGATGGGTGTACGGTGTACACGCGACCGAGAGCCGCGCAAGACCGGATTTCTGGGTGACCTTCAACAGCTTTACCCTGCTTGCGTCTAATAAATTTTTTTTTGGAATAGTTCCAAGTATAATACTGAGGAACGTCGCAGTACAAAAGAGTTTTAGCAAACGGGTCATTTTGGCACAGTTCAAAAAATGCAGTTAAGGTTGTTGCTGGTGGACTATTAACCTTATGCAGAAGATTGTCCGGCTTAAAATAAACTCTTTGTCCGTTCTCTAGATGTACGGTTAGATGCACAACTGTTGGTTCACGTTCATGAATTGGCATGCCTAAAATCCGCCACACGGCTTCATTACTACTTATATATCTGCCTAACTGGAAAGCAGTAACTTCATCAATTGAGGTTCCAGATTTCTTAAGTTCAAATACAGCCTGGTCACTGCCTTTGTGTATGTATTTGCAGATGTATTTGATGGACTTCACACTGCTGCACAGTTCTACATTTATATGTGCCTGAAATACTCGGCATAGAAAAGGGTTGTAGGGCACCACCCACCTGTTATCTATTTCAATTTCTTGATAGCCAGATGCACAGCGGGTGTTTATTTTTCCAGTGAATCCGCCATTTTGAGGCGTTCTTCTTCTGTAAAGCGGATAGCTGTCTGCTCCTGTCTGGGTCTCGTCCAAAAAACTCCTCGGATATCGTTTCGAACAATGACCGTTCACCATGCAGGGTGACATGTTATTCAGGACCCCACATGGTCCATGGATCATGTGCTTTAGAACTATTTCATATAAGATGGGATCTTCTACTGGATTTGGTAGTTCCGCACGTATGACTCTGTCAATGTCATTCGGTCTAATTTTCTCTTGCAACCAGACCAAAATATGTGCGTGGGGAAGACCTCTCTTTTGCCATTCAACTGTGTACACTGAGTTTCTCCGAATATGCCTGACTTGGTTATTAGGTTGATCATTTTTACCAGCTTCTGCCTAAAAACCCGAGCAATCAGGTCATGTCGATCAGTGGCGTTCTGTCCAGGCATTAAATTATTCCGTATTTCCGACCAACTTTTGTTACACGTGAATGTGATAAATAAATCTGGTCTTCCATACCTTCTGACATACGCCATGGCATCTTGAGAATATTCATGCATGTGGCGTGGACTACCGGTCACAGATGACGGAAGTATCACCATTTTTCCTATTTGATTCGGGTCAAAATCCATGGAGTTAATGTCATCTTTTAGATGAATGTATTCTTCACTTCGAAGTTTCGCTTGGTTGTAACGAATATACATCAAGCGCTCGCTTTCTATTTTAGCGTACATGTCAACAATAAATTGGTGAAATAGTTGTCTGCATTTCAAAATGTGGTTTTCCTCATTCTCTCGCAACATTATGCGGTAGGCATAAAATGCCATAGCTGAAACTTTCTTGTGAGCCAGAGCACTGCTCGTTAGAGGATCCACTTGCGGGATGCCACAGAAATAGCCATCTTCTCCTTGCCAGAAGATTAAGGGGTACTGAAGGGCATCGTACGACCTATGTGTTTCAACGACTCGCTGGAGCGTGTCGTTTCTTTTATGAAGAACTATATCTCTTCTTTCGAAATCGTTCCCAACCATCACGATGCCGACTTCATTCATTGTTGGTGCATTAAATCTCCCTGGGTGCTGACCCTGTGGCACTTTATCTGCCTTAATGATTATTTTATACTCATCCGTTGGCATTTTTTCAAGTGCGTTTTTAAATAGACGGATATATTGATTATTCTGGTGTAGAAACACTTGAAGGCTCTCAATAATAGGTTTTCTGACTTTTTGGACAGCTGCACATCTTTGGTTCACTTGTTTTTCTTCGTCTCCCATAAAGTAAATTTGAAGAAACTTTGATTCCTCTTCTTTTGCTGGAAGAAGTGACCCGATAAATTGGTGCACCTGCCCTTGAACTTTAAAAGTTGGCATGAACCCTTTTTCTCTTATTTCCTTAGTTGCTCCAAATGAAGTCATCTGGAAGCAACTGTTATATTTTCTAATATTTAATAAAAAATGCCGAGAGTGAGAGGTATCGCCGGACATTAAAGACTTGAGTGGCTCTGGGGGAGATTCTTGCTGAATCAGTTTGATTTTCCCATTAGAACAGCACATACCCGGTGGCTCTCCTTTCCACTTGACAGCTTTGCAGTGAGGACAAACAATTGCCATTTCTCCAATCATTATGTGTGGGTTATTGTCGTAGCTATTGTTTGCTTCGTAGTTTAGGGCCATCATTTTAAACTGCGTTTGATAATCTTCTCTTTCATTCAGCCTATTTCTGGTACTTTTAGCATCAAGTCGGGCTTCTCTCTCCTCAGTATTCTCATTATTTATTTTAATGGTCGTCCGGAAATTATCTGCCGTTAATCGAGCTTGCTTCTGAGAATCGTTTTCTGCGCTTCTATCTTGATTCCTCATTGTTCTCTTGGCAGCAAGCCTAGACTCAACATTCTCTGTAATTTCATGTAGTGCAGCAACACGATGCCTTAATAAATCAGTTGCAAGTCTTGCTTCTCTAACTTCAATGGTTTCGTTTGATCTCGAAGTTGAAGCTTTATCTCTCATAGCTTTTAACCGAGCCTCTCTGACTTCAGGTTTTTCATTTATTCGTGCTGCAGCAGCTTTATCTCTCGCAACTTTTAACCGAGCCTCTCTGACTTCAGGTTTTTCATTTCTTCGTGCTGCAGCAGCTTTATCTCTATCTGCATCTAGTCTAGCTTTTTTGGATTCTGGGGTCTCATTTTCTTTAAATGCTGCAGCTTTCTCTCTTTTATACTTTAGTCTGGCTTCTCGTTGCTCCAATATTTCAAAACGTGCAATATTTTTCGGAGGCATTTATGTGATAACGTTTAAACCTTAGTACATGATCTAAGCAGCTAAGCTGAAACGCCTTAGGTAATATGGTGAAACCTGGCAATCATTAAGGCCCATACCATTTACGCCACGTAGTGCCAGAAGAACAACAGCTATCGACGTGAGTCGTAAGAAAACGTGAGGACGATAGTAATGTTATTTGGCTGTCACAACTGCGACACACTGTAAAGTCGACACAGATGGTATTTGGCTGTCACAACTGCGACACACTGTAAAGTCGACACAGATGGTATTTGGCTGTCACAACTGCGACACACTGTAAAGTCGCCACAGATGGTATTTGGCTGTCACAACTGCGACACACTGTAAAGTCGACACAGATGGTATTTGGCTGTCACAACTGCGACACACTGTAAAGTCGACACAGATGGTATTTGGCTGTCACAACTGCGACACACTGTAAAGTTGACACAGATGGTATTTGGCTGTCACAACTGCGACACACTGTAAAGTCGACACAGATGGTATTTGGCTGTCACAACTGCGACACACTGTAAAGTCGACACAGATAGTATTTGGCTGTCAAAACTGCGACACACTGCTGTAAAGAGGGCAGCAAACAGTCTGATTTGAAAAAAAAAACAGTATTTTAATTTTCGTGTGCAGCTCATTTCAAGAAAATAACTAATTTTTTAAACCTTTAATTTTAATGCAACATGAGGTTATTAATCTATGTAACATAAGAAATTTAGAAACCTATATATACTCATTAAGTAGAGCATGTACATATTTTTTTCGCTACTATCGCTTAGCTTTGAGACTAAAAGTAATCGTTACCCCGACCTTAACCATAATACCGACAGAAACAAACTTTCATGCTACACTTAATTACCCTATCACTTATCATTAATGATAACTGTAATCTGAAATCTAATGTATTGTAAGCGTTTAATATACGACAGAAAGTAGGAAACTAAAAAGACACCCCACTTTAATGATAAACTGCATTCCCACAGAAGAAATACACACACACACACACACATATATTTTCTTTAAAAGCATAACTTAAATGCAAAAACTACTTGCTAGATCTAGATCTCTAACATATAGATCTATCTAAATGCATAAATATAAGTTGATAGGACACAAAAAGCTTAGAAACTCACCTGCGGTAGTAAAACTTTACACTGCTAAATGTACTGTTGTAACGTCTGTTTAAAAAAAATGTACGTACTATTGTGACGTAAAAAAAAGACAGCGTTCATCGTGTTTGGTGCGACCGACAAAAATGAATTCCACTCCGTGCGAAAAAGGACAGACAAAACGAACGCGCAAATGAAAGGAACAAATATTAACCTGCGGGAATTCCCGTTCCCGAATAAAGATGTCTTTTGTTACTTTACCTGTCTTTAATTAAAGGGAAGCTACTGTCATAATCTTTTCTACAAATGCAATGTGGTTTTATAAAGGGAAGTAATTGTGGTTTCCCTAATTTATCAAAGGGAAGTAAGTGCTATAGGACTAAATAAAGACATAATTAGAATTTTTGTAAAAGATGATATTTTTTTTAAAACTTGTGTTTAATGAACATGCCGACAATTATTACTGTAATTTGAAAAATGAAAATGATTTCCCAACACTTTCAATGGTAATTTTTAGCTCATAAATTTAGACAAATGCGCACGATAATTTTCTAACTTTTAAATTCGTACAATTCCAACGATATACAAATGCATTACATACAGAACTGAGCTTTATATATTAGATATATAAAGCTCAGTTCTGTATCGTGTGGCAAAAAAGTTTGTCGTTGACACTTCTATGGATTTAAGTGTTAGATTTTTTATCGTGCTCACAGTCTAAATTTACGAGTCAAAAAATTACCATTGAAAGTCTTTAAAAACAATTTTCATTCTATTTACTTAGAAGAATAATTTTCAATTATGAACGCGACATAAAATTTTTAAAAAGTGTATCGACGTTTATAAAATTTCTATAATTGTGTCGGAAATGTATTGACTGCACAGTTACTTCCCTTTAATAAAAAAAATTCTTAAGAAGAAAGAATTTACATTTTATTACTTTGTTTTTGGTGTTAAGAAAAAAAAATAATTTCATAATTAGCGGGGATTGATTAAGTGCAATGTCGTTAGGTATTTTTAACACTGCCTTTTATTTATTCTATACACTGTACATACTGTTCAATATTTTTTTTTAATCAATAACATTTAATAAGCTAGGTCCTTCCTACAAATCCTATATGTTTATTTCTTTCCATTTACGGATAAGCTTGGAGTATTATCATTTTTGTTCACTAAATTGAAACAGGCGCGTCCGCCGGCGCCCTTGCACGGTTCGATTTGGCACCCTGGGCTATCATGTGAGCGCCATGCTGCATAGTTTTGTTTTTAACAGTGCGATAGACTATGGGTAAGAAAGGTTACTATAGTCTTTAAGTGAATCAAATCCGGGCGTCCTCCGGCACCCCGACAGGGTGCTATTTGGCGCCCCGGGCCTTCCGGTGTACGCTATGGTATATACGTTCGCGTGAGTTCAAAAGACTATGAATAAGTTATGTACTATAGTCGTTTATTAAGTTCAATCAGGCGGTGACGTCATGGTGCGTCCTCTGGCGCCCAGACAGGGTGCTATTTGGGGTCCCGGGCCTCCCGTGTTCGGTTTCGCGCCTACGTTCATTAAAGTGAGTGCAAAAGACTATGAATAAGTTGGGGTACTATAGTCGTTTATTAAGCTGAAACAGGCGATTCCGCCCCGGGCTAGACTCTGAGCACTGTGCGTTTATGTTCGCGTTTGAGTTATCTTTGTGTTTTGGTTTGGTTTGCGTTATTGGTTGCGTTTTTGATTTGGTACGTTTTTGTTCTTTCTTTTTTCGTTTTCGTTTGTGTTTTATTTTCTTTGCGTTTGTATTTGTGTTTGTGGTTGGTTTTGCGTTTGTATTTGGTTTGTTTTCGTTTGTTTTTTCGTTTGTGTTTTTTTCTTTGGGTTTGTGGTTGGTTTTGCATTTGGATTTTGTTTGTTTTCGTTTGCTTTTTCGTTTGTTTTTTTTCTTTGTTTTCGTATTGGTGTTTGTGGTTGTGGTTGGGTTAGTTGTTAGGTTTTTGTTTTCGTTTGTATCTGTAATTGTGTTAGCGTTATGTTTGCGTTTTGTTGTTTTGGTTTTGGTTTGGGTGTGCAATGCCGGGTTTATGATGATTACTAAACACACAGGCAATGGTCTTTAACAAAAAGGTTTTTCACAGAAGCCAGAGCAGGGCCTGGCCGGGACGGCTAGTTTATATATAAACTGTCCGCTATATGGGCTAACAGGCTGTAACATGGAGTAACTGTCCGCTATATAGGCTAACAGGCTGTAACATGGAGTAACTGGCTGCTATATGGGCTAACAGGCTGTAACATGGAGTAACTGGCTGCTATATGGGCTAACAGGCTGTAACATGGAGTAACTGGCTGCTATATGGGCTAACAGGCTGTAACATGGAGTAACTGGCTGCTATATGGGCTAACAGGCTGTAACATGGAGTAACTGGCTGCTATATGGGCTAACAGGCTGTAACATGGAGTAACTGGCTGCTATATAGGCTAACAGGCTGTAACATGGAGTAACTGGCTGCTATATGGGCTAACAGGCTGTAACATGGAGTAACTGGCTGCTATATGGGCTAACAGGCTGTAACATGGAGTAACTGGCTGCTATATGGGCTAACAGGCTGTAACATGGAGTAACTGGCTGCTATATGGGCTAACAGGCTGTAACATGGAGTAACTGGCTGCTATATGGGCTAACAGGCTGTAACATGGAGTAACTGGCTGCTATATGGGCTAACAGGCTGTAACATGGAGTAACTGGCTGCTATATGATCTAACAGGCTGTAACATGGAGTAACTGGCTGCTATATGGGCTAACAGGCTGAAACATGGAGTAACTGGCTGCTATATGGGCTAACAGGCTGTAACATGGAGTAACTGGCTGCTATATGGGCTAACAGGCTGTAACATGGAGTAACTGGCTGCTATATGGGCTAACAGGCTGTAACATGGAGTAACTGGCTGCTATATGATCTAACAGGCTGTAACATGGAGTAACTGGCTGCTATATGATCTAACAGGCTGTAACATGGAGTAACTGTCTGCTATATGGGCTAACAGGCTGTAACATGGAGTAACTGGCTGCTATATGGGCTAACAGGCTGTAACATGGAGTAACTGGCTGCTATATGATCTAACAGGCTGTAACATGGAGTAACTGGCTGCTATATGATCTAACAGGCTGTAACATGGAGTAACTGTCTGCTATATGGGCTAACAGGCTGTAACATGGAGTAACTGTCTGCTATATGGGCTAACAGGCTGTAACATGGAGTAACTGGCTGCTATATGGGCTAACAGGCTGTAACATGGAGTAACTGTCTGCTATATGGGCTAACAGGCTGTAACATGGAGTAACTGGCTGCTATATGGGCTAACAGGCTGTAACATGGAGTAACTGGCTGCTATATGGGCTAACAGGCTGTAACATGGAGTAACTGTCTGCTATATGGGCTAACAGGCTGTAACATGGAGTAACTGTCCGCTATATGGGCTAACAGGCTGTAACATGGAGTAACTGGCTGCTATATGGGCTAACAGGGTGTAACATGGAGTAACTGGCTGCTATATGGGCTAACAGGCTGTAACATGGAGTAACTGGCTGCTATATGGGCTAACAGGTTGTAACATGGAGTAACTGGCTGCTATATGGGCTAACAGGCTGTAACATGGAGTAACTGGCTGCTATGTGGGCTAACAGGCTGTAACATGGAGTAACTGGCTGCTATATGGGCTAACAGGCTGTAACATGGAGTAACTGGCTGCTATATGATCTAACAGGCTGTAACATGGAGTAACTGGCTGCTATATGATCTAACAGGCTGTAACATGGAGTAACTGTCCGCTATATGGGCTAACATGCTGTAACATGGAGTAACTGTCTGCTATATGGGCTAACAGGCTGTAACATGGAG